TCAAGATATCTGCTGAACCAGGCTGACAGTGCGGTATTTTCTGAGTGCTGTGTTTTTTGCAAGAGAGCTGAATCTATAATCAACACACCGCAGCATGCCACMCTGAGACATGATGATGAAGAAGCTTTGGCCTTCGCCTCCAACTCTTTACTGCAAACTTCCCTTAATTTTTACCACCATCCCATCACTGCTGCTCTCCTCCAGACATCCCTCTTCTCTGCAGAGTGATGCACGTTTTGCTGCTGTTTCGCCCGCTGCTTCCATTTACACCAAACGCTACATAAAGTTGTATTTGAGACAAAAAAGTGATTTCACTTCTGGGAGTTTGCACTTGTGAGAACACGTGTGATGGTGATGAACTTGTTTGTAATGGGATTTTTCCACTCTGGTGATCAAAAGCCTGACTGCGTGGGTCCATTCAGTCATGAAAGTGCTTGTATGTCAGAAACTTTCACCCACTAATGTTTCAAAAGAGCAAATGTCTAAGCGTGTGTGATTCTCCGCAATGCTTAAAATACGAGTATTATTGTAACCTGTGCCACTGTTATAATAGCTATCATAGTCATCATGCTTGTTTTATGGCATGTGTCAAACTCAAGGCTCACAGGCCAAATGGCCTCCGGTTGACTTCTGTCTGCTCTGCCAATGCCTCTTCCAAAATAAAGTTAATTAAAAATAATATATGTATATGTAGTGGTCACCTCATAGTGGAATAAACAGTCCACCTGTCTTTGATCTTGGTCTCAGAAGACCTCCTACAGAGAGACAGAACTCTGTTCCATAACAGGTTTTCTTAAACAGTAAAGAGACATTTTCTTGTTATTAATCAGATAATAAACAGAATAACCTTCTTTGTATTCATAATTTTATCAATGTACAGAAAAGAAAACACAAAAATAATGTTATTACAATGTTTTATTGTGCTTTGATGTAAATCACTGCTTGAACTTTAACTGTGAAACCACAGTAATTGATTACAGATTTTTAGGTGTAAATATTTTTAGGTGTAAATACTCAGTATTATGGTTAAGCTTTATTATGAAGCATTTTATAATTATTTTTGTCTGAATCGTTACATTGAATGTTTTATATAAAATAATTCATTTTTAAGTTTTCAGTAAATCGTTCTTCAAGTGTCCTTTAAATTGCTCTCAGCAGAGAGCAGGTCAGATCGAGCTGTACGACTGTGCAGACATCAACAATTTTTGTTTACGAAAAACAACACCTGGCAGTCCTTCATTAACCATCCTACTTTTAAATTAATATCTTTGGTCTGAACTAACACAGTCATTTGAGTTGAGTTGTCGAATGAACGTGCTCGTGCTTCACGAGGACGCAGCTGTTTTTCTCCGAAGATGGAGGATCAGCGACTAAGCTGTGGAGGTTTCAGCCCACACGCAAAAGGGAGAAATGTGACAGCCGAGTGGGACAACTCCATCCTGCTCATCATTATCAGAGCAACTTTTGTTTTGAAACTTCCAGGGCGGAAGTATTCTATTTTTAAGACGGATACTGAGAAGCGCCTCGTCTCTGATCGTCGATTTAAAGCAACCCAGGAGACGTTGAAGAGCAACGCGCTCTTCACCCCAACTGGACAATCTTCCCTACTTTAACCAAGGTCCAAGGTAAAGGCTGACCATTACTGAGCGTACCTGAGGTCTGGCGGATTCGTTGTGAGACGTATGCCCTTCCTGGTTAATAGCCACAACATTTTTAAGGATAAAGTTAAAACTAACTAATCGTCTTCCTCTACCTTTCTTTCCTCTTAAAGCTGCCCTGGCAAAAAAGAAAAAGTGCCACAAACACACCTAAAAGTTTGTTGTTAAACTTTTTATAGGGAATTAATCTCACAATAAGCTGTATAGTTAGTGATTTATTTCATTCTGTAAATAAATGATCGCATTTATTGTTAGATCAAACGAGTCACTGAGTACGCTCATCTTATTGTGTGTTTTGTCCATTCATTTTGGCACAGAAGAGATATCTATTGAAAATAAGAAGATCCTGTGGTAAATAATTTCCTCTGGACTTTTAAGTTCTGAGAGTGTAGTTGAATCCTCATAACCGAGAGATTTCTACCATTTGGTGACACACACGTCACTACATGTCACTATTGTTAATTTAATATGAAACTATTTTTATATCAATGGTGATTCAGTGCAACAAAATAAACTAATTTAAAAGGTAAAGGATAATACTTGTCCTGGTTGTGGATTTCAATTAAATGTTACCCCTTGAGCAATTTTGTTGAATAGCCCTGCATTAATATCTCAAAGTAAGCTGCTTTAAAGGCATCATTGACCATAAACTGCATCTCCCATAATGCATGGGAATTCCCATAAGTAAGTGGGAGAGTTCTGTATTCAAGAAGGCAGCTACTTACCACCACCGAAGCTAAACATGAAACATCAAAGTTACTTACAACTGGCCCTTTAAAGGCCACCATAATGCTCATGTGGTTCTCAGTGAAAATGAGTTTGACACCCCAGTTTTGTGGTATACATTTGTTTCACACACTGCTTATATGTGATACAAATGTGCAGGCAGATAAATGTTGGCAATGCTTATTTGCACCCATCCATGTCAAGAGGTCATTTTCAGACCTCTCCTTAAACAAGTCAAGCATGGAARACTAGTAAAACTACAACCTGTCATTTTGAAAATAATTGCCTGATCATGTGGTTCTTTTTTAACATGACTGCACCCATCCATGTGCACAGATACAATATATATAAATGTCTGTCTGAAACTTAAGACACAGGAAGACACAAAGCTAAGCAGAATATGCAAATCACAGCGAACAGCACCGACCTTTTTCGGATACTGTTCCCCTGACACATCATTGACCTTTAAAGAACTCATGCAGCAAAGTTGGTGACACTACTGGGGATTAATGCAAATAATGTAATGATGAAAAATACATTTCTGTTAAGAATCTGCAAAGAGAATTGAAAAAAATGTAACTTCTTCATACGCGCCAATGCTCAAACATGATCTGCAGCCTGAACTTGTTTTTTATGACAAATTTCATGACTTACTCAAACATTTAAAGGTTAAAGTGTTTATTTAAGTCTGTGTCAGATGTTACTTAAGAAAAAAAGGCAGTTAAATGAATAGACTTTCTTTGTCCTTTAAATTACACTTTTTATTTTATTTTTTAAAAAAGATTGAATCACATATAGTGACTTAATCTAACAAACTGAAGTTTAGATCCAATAAATAAATAAACAAATAAATAAATAAACAATTAAATAAATATCTCCAGAATTAAAGATTCTTATTATTTGGTTAAGTCATGAATGCAGTTTCATTTTTAAAATAGCTTGGAAGTTTTTTCTCTTTCACATTTAGTTGCACTGATGCTACAACATTAAATATGCCTATGAAAAAGTGAATTTTCCTGTAAAAATTTTAAGCATTTTGTGACAAATATATATACAATATAATTGTGCTATCCAAGTGAACAAACATTTTTGCCCCTGTTTTA